CTCATCGTTTTAAACGATAAACTAAGATAATTAAATTTTTTTGCTTTTAGGCAGCATCCTGCCTACTACTTTCATTGATTTGTTGGCCCTCCTGTTGTTCTATCCGTTGAAGTAGCACGTCATTCACCGCTTATTGTATGGTGTCAATATGTATGCAACTAATTAACCGGAACCGATCCATTGTGACTAAGATTCACTAACCGTTACTGAATAAAATTGGCAGTGTTCAATACATTCTTACAGTCATTCATGTGTAGCTTTCAAAAGTAATTTGCAGTTGTTCCTTCATACTCGAGTCTTAAAGACCCAGAAGGCAGTTAGCGACGACTACTTAATACTTTTATTGTAGTCTGTTTATTTTTTAGTATTATATTCTAGCTTGCTGTGATGTAAAATAGGATAAGTTTTGCATCGGGCCAATGCTTCCGTCCGCCAGTCTGTCGATGATTTATGCTGCTGAAAAATGGACATATGATTCCGTTTAAGTCACTGATAATCAGATCAGATGATACGGCTTTTAACTTGTATGTGATCAACTCCTGCAGCTATATGCGGTGCACAACATTGTTCAACGTGTTTAATGAATGCCAGGATTGCAAGGGCAGGAAAATTCAGTTGTGCTAGGAATCACCTTGTTACGAGTGCTTCTAATTCCCATAGGCAATGATGAGAGAAGTTACATTAAAAACAATGCTCCTTTGTTTTCTTGGGCGGCGTGGGGGGGGGGGCGTGGGTTAGGGTGGCTGCGATCACCTAGCACAAGTTGATCTAACCGAATTGTGGGGTGTTGACTGCACGTGTAAATGGTAGTTCCACATTGCAACATCTTTTCGCATAGAGCAGATGTTTCTTGCGAATCGCGCTTTGCTGCAGATTTGTAATAACAAAACTTATCATTAAAAAAAATTAGTCTGAGGGAATAGCTCATAGCCATTGAGTTGTTTCCTTATACATCTGCGTCTTTATTTTTCATGATCTCTGTCTTCTTCATTTTGTTCGTCTCTTCTTTTTCCTCTTCTTCCGTTTCTTTACCTTCTTTTTCTTCTTCTTTGTCTGGTTGATAGCACTACTTTGTTCCGTAAGGAATTCAATTTTGTGAAGGATGAACAAGCTCTTGTTTTGCCGGGTTTCTAATGTGAATGCACGCACCCTGAACACGGTATTTATTGGAATTCATGGCACAGGCTTTCAACGTCACAAAATCGATACATCTTTTAATACGCTTTTTTTGACGGTTGCGCATTTCACTCTGGTATTCTAAGTTAAGTCAGCTTTAATTTACTTACTTATTTGTGTTCTTTGGTTAAGGAATGGCTAAAACATGAAACGTGGCTTGGAGCGACCTGCCATTAAACGTCCGGCAGCTCAGGTAGTCAATTGGTAACTGTTTTGTACAGCTTCGTATTGTGGGCGACATCCTTACCGACACCTCATACTTCACATCCTCGACAAGGCAGCGTTCATAAGCGACTTTCCTGTCATGTGTCTGCGCATTTCAATTTTTGACTAATTGCTGATCATCCCTGATCAGGGGAGATCCAATAAAGCGGATTGTAAAACTTTTATTGACAAGCATTTAATTGCCACCCTGGCCTATTGAATCATTAGCATCATCTGGCCACGGCAACGCTGCTACCGTGTTGTGCTGAGGTTGAAAAATCCTGCATCCGTTGTCTGATTAAGTCGCTGGAGGCAGCTGGAAGCAGGATGGCGATGCCGCAGTTTCACGTAGCTCAGATCAGTGGAATTTTGCTTGTTGTTTTTCCTCTTGTGCTATTATGCTGATGCATGTTTGACTAGTTTTTTGTTATACGTTCCATTACCAAGTTTCCCTCATTCATTAGCTTTCTCTGAAAAGGTTTTTCTTATTATGCTTTCAAATGATATTAATCGTCGGTGCCGCTTTTCAGTTTTAGGAGCGGAGGAGTTCGATGAGCAAGTTTATCTACATTGGACGTTATTCTTAATACCGAGAATGCACGACCAATTAATGAGTATGGTTTTCTAAAACCCCGGTTGAAACATAAATTAGCTAGAATATTTCATTCATTCATTCATTCATTCATTCATTCATTCATTCATTAATTTATTCATTTATTCATTCATTCAATCTAGAACATTAATTGGCTAGAATATTTCATTCATTCATTCATTCATTCATTCATTCATTCATTCATTCATTCATTCACTCATTCATTCATTCATTCATTCATTCACTCATTCGTTCAATCTAGAACATTAATTGGCTAGAATATTTCATTCATTCATTCATTCATTCATTCATTCATTCACTCATTCATTAATTCATTCATTCGCTCATTCATTCATTAATTCATTAATTAATTAATTCATTTATTCATTCGTTCATTCAATCTAGAACATTAATTGGCTAGAATATTTCATTCATTCATTCATTCATTCATTCATTCATTCATTCATTCATTCATTCATTCATTCATTCATTCGTTCATTCATTCAATCATTCATTCATTCGTTCGTTCATTCATTAATTCATTTATTCATTCATTCATCCATTCACTCATTAATTCATTCATTCATTCATTCAGTCATTAATTCATTAATTCATTTATTCATTCATTCACTCATTAATTCATTCATTCATTCATTTTCTACGACCTGTGTTCTTTTCGGCCCTTGGAGCAGCAGCACCAGCATGTTTCTCAAATGGCTCCGCCCATGGGTTAAGTTCCATGCACTATATTCAAAGGCGCGACAATGGCACGTGCTCAGCATACTTGAGCCATCCGTCTTTGAGTCCGCTTCTTGCTTGTTTTCTCCTCGCAATATCGGAAAGATTCCGTATTCATGTATCATTTTGACGGTTGTTTGCACATGTGTGCTCCAACTTTTGTTTGTTGCTCTATTTGTTTATTACCCTAGTTTTGTTTTTACTTTAAAGAATAAATAATTTAAAAAAAATGTCGAGTTTTGAAATATAATTTTTATTGTCCCATATAAACTATCCTTCATTAGCATGGTTATAAGACAGTTTCGTGCCCAACGGAGTGAACTGGTTTTGATTTATGCTGATAGCGAATTATGTTCCCTTATAAATCACTTTACCTGAAGATACGGATGCATTTTTCAATAAATCAGTCATTTAGTCCCCTCTGACTTCTCTGAATTTACCCGGTGCAGCCGCACTATCCCACTATCCGTGGGAGTTTGGCATCAGCAGTGTTGTTGGTTCGAACAAAACCTGTCCTAACACCAGCGTATACCTCAATCCATAGACTTGTAATCAATCTATTAATGTTTTGAAAAATGTAAAATTGTCATTACATGATTCTAACCTTCCATGCGTTTCTGTCATCTTCGGTCTTTTATGATGATTTGCTCTTTTGGCCGTATCGACCATTCAGTTATTTCGGCTTTTTGGTGTTCTTCGAACCAGTTGTCAGCTTTTTTACCTAAATGCACATCAGAAAGTCAGTTGGAGGTTAGCTATGCTCTTGAATCAGATATGTCGCGTCATTAAATATAATTAGAATCAGAATTAGTACCTATATTTCTAACGTCCTTGTTCTTATACGCAGAGGAGCCCGTTAATGCGATTTGCGATTTATATTTTTATCGTACTTAGTTTTTTGCATTAGGAAGATAGTTGTTGATTATCATAATCTTCAAAGGGTTTGATCCTCATATAAATTTTATTAAAATAAATCTTGATGTTCGAATCGAGGTAGGTCCATCTTCTGCGAATATTACATAACCAAAAATGCAGTAGACAACGTCAGCAAATAATTTTTCACATTCAGTTCGTAATATGACAGGATTATACCGTATGCTAGCCCGTTTTAACGGTACATGGCTCAGATTTGACCATTCTAGACAAGCCTTACATGCTGTTCCTGGTTTGCCTTCATTTGCGATGACAACCACAGCTTATACCAAGCGAAAAGCCCGCAAGTTATGATGTTGTTTATTTTTAGGCCATTATTATATAACGTGAAATACAAGTGGTGGTCAGATGGTGATGAACGCGTATACATCGGTAAGAAAACGGCTTTCTAGAATTCGTTTCCATTTGGCAAAGTGAAACTGTGCATGTTATCTGATTCTGATATCGTTTCTTATGATCAACTTTTTTCGACTACCTTGTAAAGTGTGACTCATGAAAACCATACTTTTGATTTAATGGCGTTAGTTTATTCTGATTAATGATATGTGCACCTCTTGCCATGCCAATATAGTCAGGTTCAAGAACAATCAGCAGACTCACTGTAAGCTGTGTCGGGATCAACGTTTTTGATATATAGACGAAAACAGTGCCCCCTGAATCGTCTAAAATTTGAATAACGACTTTAATAGCAGTCTATTATTTGTCTCTAGAACCGTTTAATCATCATTTTTATTGAACAGGAAGAAAACAGAATTCAAGTGAACTTTCGAAAACATTCCAACGTGCTAAGTCGAGTTTTTTGTAAGAAGTACCGTCTCATCATCAGTATCATTACTCTTATTTTAATCAGCTTGATGATCTTTATTCTGTTCGTTATTTTTATCGATCTTATCATGATCAGCATGTCAGCCATCGCCAATTGAATGGCACTAGTCATCGCGCTGCAGAAATTGACTACCGCTGATAGAAATCAAGACAAACTCCAGCGAATCTGTCGTGTACGCGTTTCATCTCGATAATCGAAATGGCAAGAGGTTTTATAAATATGCGCTCATAATGTACCGAGTAAATCATGATTGACATGAAAGATTTATTTAAAATATTATAAACAGAATTACGCAACAGATACAAATAATTTTTGTGTTTTATTATTCAACTAATAAGATTTTGGTCATACAAAATATCTCGACATTACCCTTACAGAATCCTCATTTTCAAGTGACGCCAATGTAACATATCAGCATAAACGAAACAGTTGGTCAATATCGTATCGAAATCACTTGAGGTGCACAAGTTATGGACATGTGCTACTCTTCATTCTTGCTGTATCAGCGGTAGAATATTTTGCTCTAGTCTGATGAGAGTGACGCACGTCGTCAAAGTGAGCTTGCAGCTATGCTCGCTGATGAAACGGTTATAATACTGGTGAAGCCCAGTCCAACGCAGTCGCTTCATGCGCAACCCCTCCCCTCCACGTCTGAACATTTATTGACCAACTGAGGCTGTCTGAGGAGGCGACAAGTCACTTATAAAAGGTCTCCCCAACGTTACTTATTATAAATCTGCGTTGCAGTGGAATTGAAAATTACCGTTATGCGACTTGATATCGAGTGCGGTTATGGGTATGCCATGAACGTAACTCGAAACCTCCTCCAACTCCCTCTATTCTCAGTATTCTACCTCCACTACTGACCAAGTGACTTCGCCATCATTTCGTCCAAGTGTATTCGTGGACTTCCGACCGCGGTTGGTGATCCAGCGGAATCGAAACTGTGGTCAAGAAATTCGTTCTGGACTATTTCACGAAGCCAAAGACTGATGATAGCGGGAAAATTACATAACACAGCAATTGTTCCTGAGAAACATCTACGAACGAAGAACGCAATGCAACCGCCCAAACTTTCGGTGTTGTTAATCTGCTGCGAAAAATGTTATCCCCCTTCAATCCCCCATCCAACATCGTGTTTAAGTGATTATTTGTTTAATTAATAATAATTAACATACAAACAATAATAAATGACAAAATTGACCGATCCTTCTTTATGATTAACGAGAATCACTATTTCCTAATCTGGATGCTCGTCCATTTCAGCCACCATTTTAGCTGGAGTCGTTTCGTCCCATCTGCACGGAGGTCTCTCATTTTGCCGCTTGCAGCTGCTTGGATACAAATTACTGCTGAAGTCCCTCGGTCATTCATTAGATATGCTATGTGATCTACCTATTATCATTTTCTTTTTCTTAAACTGATACTGTGCGCTGCATTACCGTGTGTCTGTTTCTTTCTTCTTGTTTTAACTTGCTCCTTATGAAAATTCTAAGCATCTTTTTTTCCGTCGCCCGCTACTGTACTCTTAACTGCTCTCGCAACCATATCGCAATACAGTGCTTTCGTACAGCGTGGTTCTAACTGCTTTTGATAATAATAAATGGTTAACAATAAATGAAATGTCTTATCAATCATGTTTAACTGACCAATGTCGAAAGCAGCTTTAAGACTGAATGACTTTTGTCATTTTTGGCTATTTTCGCCTTTTAGCCAAGAATCATTCCTACAAATGCCAGGTATGAAAAGTTTCGTGCTACGGATCCGATTATATCGTCGCACTACTATGGTACGTAATGCAAAAACTCCTTATGTTTATAAGCATGACCGTAATTTAGAGTCGAAGCAGTCTTATGAATGGCGGGACGTTATGGAAAAGCCTGGCTTCGAGGCGGCCCCAACAGAATCGTTTGCACATGTGAGTTCGGCTATCGATGACGCTGGCGTGCATTTCTGTTTTTTGCTATGACTTTTTCTCGGAGGATCATTAGACTCAGATTTTGATCAGTCGTAGAAAACTGTCGATAGCTACATGCGTTCTAGTGATCAACGAGATACGATGTATACATCGAGGATTATTTGCGCCTGGCTGTTAGAAGGAAGAAATCACATATGTAACGGCGATCCTCACGTCTCTGATATTCTGTGGATCTGATTATATTCATGATGGTCAAATGTCCATATGAGGTCGATGTTGAATTCTACTCATAGACATGGTGCGATTCACCATTACTCTCTAATTCTCTTTCGCTATTCTTCTATGCCGTTGTTGGTTCCGTTTGGACACCCCCCCGAATCTGTCTAGCTAGCATAAATCGCATGATCAGGGTAAGTGCATAAATATTAAGGGAGAAAGATTAAGCAATGAAGAATATCGTTTTCGACAAAACCCCGCCTACGTGTTCTCGAGACAGCTAAACTGCTGCGCCTAACAGATGCGACCTATTGTACTAATGATCATTGTATTTCCTTATTTTCAAATTCCGGGAAACCGTTATGCTGGAAAGCCTGATGCGAAGAATTGATAAGAGACTTTACCCAGTTAGCAGGCATCAGGACGGGATAGTATTGCTTTGACCAGATATCCACTGTTCTGAAATAGTTGGGCAGCGCCGAACAATTGGTTGCTTTGGGTTGCCCGTCTCCTTATGGCTGTATTATATTCGATGCTTGTCCGTCGATGTGGAAAATTTTGAAATGTTGCGGTATACTCGAATAAGTCGTTTTCATTTTGTACCAGAGGTAGACAAGAACCATGTCTGTTGTAAAAGCCGAAGCAGAGCTATTTGAGTAGTTTACTATTAGCTATAGAAGTTCGACATGGATATTTGCTTTCGATTTGCTATTCAACATTGTTCTCGACTTTCTTCTCTGAAACAGCGCTGACCCTGGCAAATTGGAATTATCGTATGCAATGAAAGTTGCATTGATGATTTTTTGCTCATAATGTTGCTTATATAAACTTGTATTGCTTTGCTATTGATTGATTTTAAGGCCCCATTGGCTGATGTATGGGCGCACATTTGTCCCGGTCTCAAAGTTGAAATCATCAACGTTGATTACGTCGCCGACACGAAGGACGTCACCGACAGTGTCTATTGGCTTGCGGCGATCATCAGTGTTTCAGGTAAGTTCAGTTAATGCTATAATTAAACAGCAACCTAGTCAAATGAACGAGTCTTCGATGTACCTGGTTCGTTTACTCTTCTTTGCACTGTTGCACCATTGTAGTTGCTTTGCGTGATGAGATGCAATTGTGTTGGTCTTTGTCTGTTGGCAGAGGGTTCAGTGTGCAAGTTCATGTTTAAACGACGTTCATGCTTTGGAGATTCTGACATGGTCGACATGAAGTCCCTGCCCTGTCCAGATGGGCACACTTCTTCGCCTGTCGTCGAAACTCCCATCGAGAGCGTGAAATGATGAGATGTAAAGATGGCTGATGTGATAATGGGCATATTGTTGATCTCTGTTTAGATAACTGCTTGTCCTAATCACTGAATTAAAAAAGTCTCTTACAGAGCAAACATTCTTTGAAGCAATGGATAGGCATTCCCATTTGTAGAATCCTATTTGATTCAGCTTTGGTAGAATTCCTTACGTGTTGGCTGACCAAGTGAGGAAGATATCGTATTACAAATGTCGGTGGCCGTCATGTTCTGTTCCTTTTATTAAAGGAATGTATCTGTCTTTTCCGGATGTATTAAGACTCGACTTTAATCATGACAATATTGTAGGTATTGGTCGCGAAATGCATTGACTATATATTGACTTTTACTCTTTTTGTTCGTTTGGGCATCCAAACTATATCATTGTATCATCAGCCTTTTCCGATCCATTTACTGAATGAAGGCATCTGCGAAACTTTGCCACATACTTTTGTTTTCTGGCCTTTTATTGATCTTGTTCCAACAACCTTGTTCAGCTTATCCTGACTCAGTCTAGAGGTCTTCGTTAGGGCCATTTACTCTTTCTTGGAACCCAGTCAAATACTTCACTGGTCCAGCGATGGTCGATTCTTCTCTCAGCGTGTCCTAGCCATTGCCACTGTAACGTTTTCGCTCGTCCAGTGACATAGAATATTCATGTATCAATAAAATGATCGATTGATCAGTTATCAGCCGGGAATTAAACTGTCCTTGAAGAAATGTCTAACGAAAGTGTAGCATAATTCTAATTCTGTACACTCAGCGCTGGGACCCCTGTTTTTCGGTTTTTTTCCCATGGCACTGCTTGTCACAAAGATTCTGCGGAGCACGTTTTGTAGGGCATGCTGTGGCATTCGACGTACTCAGCGCAACAGCTGTTACCCATGTAACCGAACGTTCGTCAAGGCGGAAATGCATGGCGGTCATGGATTTCGCTAGCAATCAATCACGAACCGTTTCATGTTCCAAGCCATACAACTCGATGGCGTCGTCACTAACGTTACTCATTTGTATTGTCGTCGTTGTTTCTCAACCAGCAACTGTTGATTCGAAATGCAAATACGAAAGATGTTTCCTGTGACTCTCATCTGGACCTGCGATAAGCGAATGACATAAATCAAGAAGGGCAAATGACCCCGGCATCGCTGATGCATTTAATTAGCCGTTGTAACTGTCAGAACAACAGAACCGGCATTTGTTTGTCGAAAGTTTCCATTCGCACCATGTCTTGAATCGTCATAACTGACTTACCTGGTTGCCGTATGGATTTTGACCGAATCGCGTACGAATCAGGGAAAAATGTTTTACTGTTGTTCAGCTTGTAAGATTAGAGTTGTCGTTGTTAGTCATAATTATCTGGAAAGCAGTAGCTTAACAGCTCCGTCTCTCCTAGATTGACGATGTTCAACATTCACGATGTTAGCCCTCAGATTAGTTTAATAATTATTCACTTCGACGAAATATATACTCCTATCTCTAGCAAATCATCTTCCATTAGATTTTGCTAACTTTCAAACTGCTCTCTTTCCTTCTATGCTCCAAGGTCAGGTCACAGAGGAGGAACGTATATCTGACGTCTTCTGACATTGGACACGTTTTGTAACAAGTAAACACTTCGATCTCGTAATCCTTCAATGAAGTTCTTCAACTTGGCGGTTCTGAGATGATATGTGATCGTTTGTTAATGAATCAGGATTATGCCACCAAGATTTTTAGATGTTCCTGGAGACAGTTCAGCTGATATTTTTGAGGTTTCATTACTTCATCTCTTTAGAGATCATGCAAGACAACGGAGAAGACCGCTGCTTTCAACATAGCAACCATCGTCTTTATCGATATTGAGCGGTCTTTTCACACTCCGTGCAGCCTCGAAAACTTTCTTCCTGCAAGTCCAATGCGTCGTTGATATTTGAGTCACAATTTCCATCATTTCCGCTAGTAGTTCTATCCAAGTACTTGAACCCGTCAGCTTCCTCCACCGCCATATTATTAAAATTGATTTTCAGCGCGTGGGTTACAGCTTTTACCCTCATTACTTTTGTTTTTGTCCGGTTCAGTCGTAGGCTAACTTTTTTTGCCCTATTGCATACACTGGCAGTAAGGGTTTCCAGGCTTCTCACCAGAACAGTGTCCTCTGCATACTCAAATCTGGTCAGGTAAACAGCAAAGTACCTAGAACTTCATCTGGACCGGATAATAAAGAATTTCGTCCCGCTTCGAACGACACTTTTCCGCATGATGTAGTCAAGCGTGATGTTAAACAACAGTGGTTAAAGAACTTCACTTTACGTTACTTAGACGGCTGCCGGATGAGAGGTTGAACCACTCTAATAAACCGCCTTCGTTCTGGACTGCGCAAGTTCTTCCTTCTATCAAACCTATTATCTTATGAAATATTTCATTATGAAGATATTTCATATTCACGGGTGAATTGCTCGCCTACGTATCGTGACAATGGACTGAATCAAAAGCTGGAAGGTAATCCAGTAATATCAAATGCTCAAAAGCCTTAACTTTCGGCATTGCTCGGCATGCACAAAAATGTTCCCGCGCAAATATTCACTTCGCAATCCTGTTTTGTTCATTTGTGGAGACTCTTCCACGTACAGCTTTAGTCTACTCTGGGTTATCCATACGAAGACCATCTCGCTTCGTGGCAGCACGGTGGTCCATCTGTAATTAGTACATTTAGAGTGACTTCCACGTTTGAAGATTCGGACAATAACTCCTTTATATCGGTTTTCAGGGTTCGCTCCGGATTTACATATGCTTTTGAAGATATAGTGAATCCAAAAGACCAACGTTTCACCCCGCAGCCCTTCGTGTCCAAGAACATTTAGTCCTCTGCACCAATTAATAGCGATTCACATTTTTTTGTTTAGGGGATGTGCAAGGAATGTTCAGATGTAGTAGCGGATTTGGAAGTGTCTCCTTGTTAAGTGGAGATGCTTCGACAGTTTGTGTTGTACCATTCAGCAGCTTCGCATAATACTCAGCCCAGCGCTTCCTGCGACTGACGGCATCACGCAATGGTTCGTTCCTGTTGTTGCGTGACGATGGTGTAGCCCTATTGTTCTTGCCACCCTTGCCATTAAGACTCGCCACTTGTTTGAATACAATCCTCCAGTCTTCCTCACATGCCCTTTTCTCTAATTTTGCGGTTTCCGTCTCTGGTCATTACTTCCGGTCACTATTGTAGCTCTTGTTAACCACCTTGACCAAGCGACAATATGTTCCTGCTTGCCCAGAGAAGGGGGCATTTAAGCAGGTTGCGATTGCAATGTCTCTGAACCTGTGCAAGGCTAAATGCATTTCGTACCCTTTCGTGCGTGCAGTCACGTCCAGCATGTTACGAACGATGTTTCAAAAGCTGGTATTCCTTATATGTTGCCATTACATGCACAGATTCCTTTCGTGAGTCATACCTTGTGCAGATTATTACCTTGGATATGTAGCTATGAGAGGGGTGAAGGTGAAGCATAGCCAGAAGGAGAGCTCGCATCAAACTAAATGACTGTGCACCTCATCCATTCTGGTATGACCACGCTAGACTATAACGTTTTTCGTGTTGTTTGCAGTTCACCAACTTACTACTCGTTTCTCAGTTGGCTGCACCGGTAAATTCCTTGCATAAAGGAATTAGCTGTTTAAATAATGACTGTTTTTT